AAAACCTCACTTTTACTTTCTTAAATATTCAGGTTTGAGGTTTATTAACATTTTGGATCGACCGAGAGCACTGTCGTTGTTCAATAATGAAATTCATACTCAAAAATACAACTTGCCTAATAATTGTGCACGCAGTGTAGCCCGGGATTTTGATTTGCAGCCTCTCCAGCAAAACCTTAACTCATAGGAGAGGGTTACCTTGATGAGTTTCATCAAGTATTAAGGAAACCGTACCAGACTGGCGACCTGACTCAAAAACCGGAGTTTGTTTTTGTTCTCAAGAGTTGTAAGGGACTCCTGTTTCACAACTCCTGTTTCAGCACCGTATTATCTAATCACATTCTTATTCATAATCTGTTACCTGCTTGCTAGGGTGATAAAAGATGTTACCTCCTTATTTCTGTTAAAATTGGACAGGCTGTAAATGTAGACCCTGAGCTTTCCTTCCTGGTTGGTCAGAGCCCCTTTGAGTAGGAAATTTCCAAGTTGAGTTGAAAACCTGTGAGAAACTACTCTTACGCACACATAAGCTTGGCTTAACATAAATAAGGAAAACCTGTTTCCCCTCCCCACTGAGAAAGGATAAAGCAAATCTACTTTGTGGCCCCACCCTTTGGAAAACCCATTCCATTTCAGTGCGCTTGACTCCCTCCCCATGCTGTTTGTGTGGCCTCTAGGGAACACATGGTTGCCCAGCCCTGTTTGAGCCAATCCCTCCCGTTTTCCTTGAAAAAACACTTTGCAAGGGGAGGGACATTCATGCTCTCGGTATGAACTTTCGTTATGGTATTTATGTCTAATAATCTCCAGGGTGCAAACATTCTTCCATCAACAAGTCATTACCGTTCGTGTATTTTATTGCTTAGCTTGTGTAATCAGCACTGCAAAAAAAAAAAAAATGGTTTATACATCAGCCTTGACATATTTGCAAATGGGCAGCTGGTGGGGGAGAGTGGAGAAATGTGGCCAAAATGACTGGTGGGAAAATGGAATTGGGGAAATTTTCTTTTCATCTTGGCACCTGACCGCGCCAGAAGAGTGTGTGAACCTGATATACTTTCATGTGATTGTCCTTCAGTCCCCCAGAGGAATTTTCTGCAGGCCTTCCTGATCTCGTTTTTTAATGACTTACAATTTTCTTTTGTTTAACTTGGCACTTCTTGTTAGAAAGTTTATAAGTCCCTGGATGATTCACGTTGCTTAAGAGCTGGAGGCGGACTTGGCAGATTTCTGTGGCTTCCAGAACTGATTATTACGGCAGCTGTGAGGGGTTGGCTACCAAGGAAGGGTTTTAAGCAATGGCATAAAATAAAAGGCTGAAGCAGGGTGCCCCTTCCTACTGGGGGGCTCCATGGTTGTGTCTTTGGCTTCAGGTCTGGTGGTTTTCAGCCCTGCTGGCTGCCGATTAGTCGGGTTAAAAGTCCAACACATCTGCAGAAGCCCAACCTGGAGGAAGGTGTAACTATTATCAGGAGACCACAAAGCTAAGCCAACAGGTACAACTGATGACTCAAGTGTATTTGATATGGCTGGCCTTTTCCAATGTTACACGTGCTTTCTTACCTGGGTCCAATACATTTTAATACCTGAGATTTTTTTAAAAAATAGCATGGTAGATTAAACAGTTGGCACGCAGCATGGTTCTCTAGAAAGCTTTTGTGGGTCAGATCTGTCCAAATGTTTAGTGACCCCCTCTGGCTTACAGCGCTGTTTTTGAGCAGCCCCTGTTCCTTCAGTGAGGCTCATAAAAAGGCAGTGGAGCAGGGCCCTGTGCGTCAGAAGACCCTGCCTTCCAAGCCCTCCTCCCTTTGCCACCTCGCCTGAGTCTCCCACCCAAGTACCTGCAAGGTCCAACTGCTTCGCTTTTTAAGATCAGCCAAGGTTCTGCACTGCCTAGTTTAATGTAAGTATTCCTCCAGTTTTACACTTTTACACTATTCAGTCTGATACCTGTTTCTGGCTCCTTTCAATTGTTTTGGGAGAAAATCTTTTCCATCCTCCACACCAAAGTGGTGCTGAGTGATTATTTATTGCTATAGATAAATAAATAACCACACAGCACATCCTTATAATTGTTATTGTATACGCACACACACATACACACCCCTTTGGAATCCTTTCTACCTGGGCTTGGCGGGACCCAAAAAGAGAATGTGTCAGACATCTATAAAGTGATTAGGACAGGAAAAAGGAGATAGATTTCCTCTTCTCCACCTTTTACCCTGGATCACTCAGAAGAATGGGCATCAGAGTTTTTAAAGTACATTCTTTCAACAGATGCAATATTAGCTGTCAAAGCGTTGCCTTCACGTCCTGTCTAGCCATTTCCACAAAAGTAACTGGATTACCATTGTTGGAAACCGGCTGCTAGAGAAACTGGTTCTTTGATCTCTTCCTTCGGACATGAAGGCCACACTTCCTGTTACGCATCTTTGAACATGACCTCTTTATACCCGTAAATATAATTATTTAATAATACAGTCTTATTCACAGAAAACAGAATCATAGAGGACGGTATCTCTTAATTTATTACAAATGCTTTCTATACATACCAATTTTTACAGAGAAGCAAGTACCAAAAAACACTACTAACACCGAAACAGATGGCACATGTTGATCTCTTGTCATTTAGAAAATGTACAATCTGCTCTAAAATACAAGTAAATGAGTACTTTAAATTACCAATTGTTTCTGTCCTTAATTCTTTAAAGCATTGTTTTATTGGCGGTTTTTATTGGTTCTGGCCTGTGTCTTTAAAAGCAGATTGAAACAAATTCAACTGCATTCACCATTTTTCTTTAAGGCAGGAAGGTTATCAATTCCCGCCACGCACCCTCCTATTAAGGAATCTATAATTCAGAAGATGGAACTGTTTGATTTTAATAAATGAATTTTATATCTCCAAAAATGGGAGACTGACAGATTGACCCATTTGTTCTTCTGGGCAAGCTTTGATTTTCACATAGGCCCAGGACCCAATCCGTTATCGACTATAACCTGCTATTGGCCCAGCTATGATAGATTGTTGGATTATTAATCCTTGCCTGAAGAGTCCTGGGAAATCAGAAAGCTTGCACAGTTTTGCAACCTTCATAAACCGAAAATTGTTCACTCAATACAGGGCATCTGATGAAGAAACCTCTGTCAAAAATTAATCTAAGACTGCATAAGGTTCTTCCCCTAAGTCTCAACATGATTCATTCAACTCGTTGGTTTGCCGTCCCTACCAACTTTGAGATGTTTGAGCAAGTCACAGGAAATCATCCCTTTGTCTTTAGTCTTGAAGGCCTAGATCTTCAGATGCTTCCTGCAAGGGGATTTCCCATCCCACAGAGCAGGAGAAACAACGGCAGATCCTTTTGCCTTGAACTCTCGATGCTGCTTCGCTCCCTCTTGTGACTCCTTCAGTGCGGAATTCTACTGTTCATTCTTGTACTGCTATTTATTTACAAGTCTGTTCATGTCCCCCTCTTCCAAAAGGCCACATCTACTTTCCTGAATAAGCTTTTGTTTTCTGAAAGATAATTCTCTCATTCTCAGGAAACATCAACATTACAAAGAAGCCAAGACGGGTAGCAATTTATATCCTTTTAAGCAGGTTCCCAAAGGCTTTGGTTAACTCATGAATTGTATTTTGCACGGGAAAGAGTTACTTGGCAAGGCATAGCTAACAACATTTTCCTATGGCTTGAGCTGCCTTGGGAATTTTCCACAAGCCCTTCATTATTCTTGTTGCCCCGAGACCAGACAATGCTGGTGTTTCCCCTGTCTTGAAAGTCCTGAAACTAAATTTTAAAGCTGTCAATCTCACGCCAGCTTGCAAGGGGAGTGATCTTTTTAAGAATGAAGAGGTTTTTGATGCTACTCTCTCTCATATCCTGGCTGTGGCTTTCGTGCATCTCCAGCGGTTCCAGACCTCCTGCAATCAGCTCATTTATCCAACTCAGCATCCTCATTCATTGCTTCTATCCCTTCTAAGCCAACATCGCTTTTTCCCCCCCCTTTCCAACTGCTTTCTTCATCTTTCCAGTACTTGCACTTTCCTACTAGGGCTGACATATTTCAGGAGCACCAGCATAGCGCAGGTTTTGTCACCACAGGGAGTGGATTCTGTTTGATTTTTCCAACCCACTTTGCGGGTCGTCCCTTTCTGCCAAAATGGAGATGAGAAGGATTTTCTTCACCGCCTGTCGACACAGAGGACAGCGGCCGCTGGTGTTCAGAATCTTCAAAGCGCAACGGGAGCAGAAGCCGTCGTGACAGCACGGGAGCATCATGGTGTTGGCCTTGGACGCAAAGCAGACCATGCAATCTTCAGCAGTGCTTTCTTCAGCTCCTTCCTGGAACTCCAGGCAGGTGGAATCTGCAGAGGCATAAATATTCCACGTGAAAGTCTAAAACAGACATCAGAGGTCTTTGTGTCCTCTGTTAAATAAGAGCTTTATTAAGTAATAAAAAATGAAGTGTGTTTTTGACATTTCTTTGACTTGCGGCGTGTATTCCTACAAAATGGGAAGGGATACAAGGTCCTAATTTATCTCGCAGATGTCCCAAAGGTGTCTTTTATATGGTATTTCCCTTATACTGAGAGAGAGGAATCTGTAACTAATTCATAACAACACATTGGTCCATTTACAGGAGCAAAAGCAGAGCGTACTGAAAGTGAGCTCCTTCCTAAATCAAGCAATATAGCTACTCCCTCTGCTGTAGAAGCGTTTTGGTGCCCTCCACCAGATGTTTTGGACTTCAACCCCCAGAATTCCTGGTCAGCATGACCTAACTTGTGCTTGTCAGAAAACGACAGACACGGGTTCGGTTGTCCAGTAGACAGAAGTTTTTATTGGGCACGTTTGCAAAGGTGGGGCCCTTCCCCCGCAAAG